GGTTATCCTGACACGTCTATCTCAAGAACAGAGATGTGCACTGATCCATATTTTATTTTATTTTATCTATTGCAGTGGATGAACGTTGTGATATGGAATTGGACGAGACTGATCCAGCAGTCTGGCTGAAGTTGGAAGCTGCAGTTGAGGAATATATCCAAGGCAATAATCTGGCATTTAAGGATGCCTGTGAGAGATTAATCTCGCCTTATCAATTTGATGAGAAGTGGTCGGAAAACTTCAATTCATTTCATTTGTCCAGGGTGACGGGATCATCAGCAGGTGTTTGTTCTCATAGCATTTTCAACTGCTCGATGTTTCTTTCTGTTTGGATTTTTATTGAACTAACCAGTTATTCTACTGACTTTATGGTCATGCTAGATGAGAATAGCCCTTCTTTGGGTTGGAGACGGAATGTACTACTGATTGAAGCTTCTCATAGTCCTGATGCAGGAAGAGTTATGCATCATGCCCGTGAACTTGAAGCATTTTGTTCCAAAAATGGAATTAGAATATCCCTTATGCTTGGAACATCAGGGATTGTGAAGACTGTACCTTCAACAACATTCCCAACACCTTTTACGTCACCCTTATTTACTGGAAGCTTTCCATCAAGCCCACTTCTGTATAGTCCTGATGTTGGAGCTCAAAGGCTTGGTCGAATTGACGTGGTTCCACCTTTAAGCTTAGATGGCCAATTGGGTAAAGAAGCAGCATTAGCCCCAGAGTCTCCTTTAGGACCTAGAGAACTCTCCTCACCTGTACAGGCATTGCATGAGAAGTTACAAAATTCACCTCAAGTGGGCATTGTACATTTGGCCCTTCAAAATGACTCATCGGGCTCAATATTAAGGTCAATACACGTGGCAGATGTCTATGAATTCAGTTGCAGCATTTTCATTTGGTCCTGACCTGCTCATTCTTTATTCTTGTAGTTGGCAAAATGATGTTTTTGTAGTTGCTGAACCTGGAGAACTTGCAGAGAAATTTCTACAAAGTGTCAAATTGAGTTTGTTGTCAGCCATGCGAAGTCATCGTAGGAAGGGTGCATCATTGTTTGCCAATGTCTTGACTGTGTCTGATCTGGTGGCACTCAAACCCTACTTCCAAATTGGAGGCATTGTCCATCGTTATTTAGGACGACAAACCCAAGTATGTTATGTTCATATTTTTCTTTGCTTCCTTGTGGTTTCTTGTTTGCTATAGTCGTCAAAGTCACAGTACAAAGAACTTCAGTTCTGAGTGTCTATTGGTGTTTGTGTTCAAGGTTATGGAGGATAACCAAGAAATTGCAGCTTACTTGTTTCGTAGAACCGTGCCTTCCTTGCATTTATCACCTGATGATGTTCGTTGGATGGTAGGCTTTCAAATCTTTCTTTAATCCATCCCTTACATTTTAGATGTCTTCAAAGTTCATACCTTGTATGTTAATTGATGCATGAAAGTTGTAAAACTTTATATTGGGGATGGTTTGAATTTCTAATGCATTTCTAGGTGAATCACTGGAACAGTAGAAGTTCATTAGATTGTCTGTTTCATATTTCTGAAATTGCTTTTCTTCAGTTTTTTCACGTGGTTCTCTTTGTCAGACCCATTTGGGAAGACCGTTTCAAACAAGAAATTCAATTTTGTCCTCCTTGCTTTCCCTTCTAGATGTTTGTTGGTCTTTGATCGAATCATGGTGTTAGTCATACATGGACCCTTGTGTTCCTGAGACACTTTCTCTAGCGAATCTCATATCTGCATGTCCAACTCTTTTTCACCTAATCATGTAATGTTAGAATTTCAAAGGTAGTCAATATTTTCTGGCTGCTTGTCCTTGGGAGTGTTTTACCGAGTTCTTTAACCCAGAAAATCTCATATGTAATCTTGGAGAATAACCATAAAATACTTTAAAATAGGTAAGGATAGCATAAGTTTTAAGGACAGTTTTTTGTAATAAGCTTCAGGATAAGGTCAAATGATACTTGAGATTTGATGGATTGAAACTTGTACACTAGATTTGTCTGTCCTTCACTTCACTGTTTGACTCATTAACTTCCTCTAGATATATGGTTCTCCTAGCACCGAACGTAATAGTTAATCCGCTTGTATCCATTTTTTTTCCATTAATGTGAACGATTCATTACTCATATTTCTGAATTTTCTCCAGGTTGGTGCTTGGAGGGACAGGATCATTTTTTGCACTGGAACTTATGGGCCAACCCCAGCTTTAATTAGGGCCTTTTTGGATTCTGAGGCTAAAGCTGTAATATGTTCTTCAACTGAACCCCCTGACACGCAACCAACAACATTCCAGTCAGGGGATTATGATGCCATGGAAAACGGGAAGTTCGAGATTGGCGAAGACGATGGAGAAGATGATGATCCTGAGCTTTCAAGTCCCACAAGTGACTGGGAAGACAGTGATGCTGAGAAAGTTGGAACTTATTCTTTAGATACCTGGGATGACAATGACGAGGAACTTTCACAATTTGTTTGCCAGTTATACGACTCGTTGTTCCGAGAGCGTGCAAATGTAAATGCTGCTTTACGCCACGCTCTAGCTTTGCATCGGAAGTTGAGGTATAAATGTCATCTCCCTGATGTCCAATAATATCTTGAACAATCACACACATACAAAAATAAATGAAAGAGATTAATATCGAGAAAGGTCGAGAGGAATAGTTGGTAAGTAGATGGTTTTTGCTGAGCATAGAGAACATTCAAGAAAATAAATGGGAAGATCCAATTTTGAGGGGGTTTTCTTTTGTGTTCATTATAACCATCTTTTGAATGCCATAGACGTGTAAGGCACTAAAAAGGTTGTCTGATTGATCTTCTTTGTTCAGTTATAACTTTGTTTAGGCAAATTTGAATGTAAAAATGAGCATAAATTCTCTTCTTTGAGGACTTTCTGATTATTATGCTTGTATTTCACTACTCGAAGGAAGGGCCACCAAAATGTTATATTATGTTGGAAGTACCCTCCATTTGAGAGGGATGTGTTTGTAGAATAGCAAGTTTGAATGTGAATTTGGTCTATATGATCTTTATATGATGTTAAGAAAGTTATAGCAAAGTTCGAATGTGAATTTGGTCTATATGATCTTTATATGATGTTAAGAAAGTTAGAATTTAGTCCTTTAGTTTCGATTGCATTAGGATATTTGCAAATCTAGCTCTATATTTTTAGATTTGCAATATAATAAGTTTTTTTAAATTTGGTTTATGACTTTTTATTTTCGGTATATTAGACACATCAGTAACATATTTGTTGTGCTTTATATTTTAAATATCAGTCAACTGATATACATAATATAAAGAAACGAAATCAAGATTAGTCGTGAATATTTGAAAATTGTATTCTCGATTTTTTTATACTTTATGATTGAGTTCTTTCTTCCCACTAAAATACTCTTCTTTAGAATATATTAATTCTATATATTTAGAAAAAGATTATAAGAGTATTTTTTTAAAATAAATTCATAATTTACTAGTATTTTTTTATAATTTAGTATTTCAACAATGTTATCTAATAATTGATACGATTAAACGAATTCACCGTCTACAGAACCATAACACCTTACCTTAAAAAAAAAAAAAAAAAAAAAAAAAANAACACCTTACCTAAAAAAAAAAAAAAAAAAAAAAAACAAGACGGGAAGATCATCGCCCCGTTTAATTTGAGAAAGGAAGGATGAAAGCAAAAGTATGGGCACCTAACACAATCAAGGAAAGCATCAATTGGGTGGGTATGGGTTCTTGAAGGGTGTACAAGAAATCTTCACAAAATAAATAAACAAACCACTTTTTTATTTTATAGCATCCATCTTAATTTTCTATTTATAAAATGGTTACATTGTTCTCACAAAATGAAACATAATCTTTTTGTTATCATTGCTGTTCTTTGAAACATAATAGAGTTTTTTAAATACCATTTTTTCAGAAAGTATAGCCTGGATTTAAGTATTTTATTCAATATAAAGTCATATTATTTATTTCAAATTATTGGATAATGAAAGTCCCACATCCGCTAATTTAGGGAATGATCATGTTGATCATGAGTTTATAAGTGAGGAATACTAACTCCATTGGTATGAGGCTTTTTGGGAAACTCAAAGTAAAGCCATGAGAGCTTATGCTCAAAGTGGACTATGAGGCTTTTTGGGAAACTCAAAGTAAAGCCATGAGAGCTTATGCTCAAAGTGGACAATATCATACCATTGTGGAGATCGTGTTCGTCTAACACAAATAAATCCTTCCTTGAGAAATTATTCCAAAAAAAAAAAAAAGAAACAAACAAATCGGGATCTACCTCTACTCATTAGTAAGATTTATCGTTATTTTGTTTATATTTGATAGATTTTTTACGGTACGACAAAATATGCGGATCCACCTTTGTGTAAATATCAAATGTTAAACATTATTGAGAGAGAGTCCTACATTGTCGTTAATCAAAGAAATGATTGTGAATGCCATCTTATCTCCTCCTTGTCCAAGCTCGGGTTATGGAAGAAGGAACTGAGAAGAAAGTATCAACAACAACAAGTTTTATTACAGGACAGCTCATGATGTTCATATCCATCTATCATGCACCTTTGCATCTAGCATTGGGTAGACCTCATACAATAAATGTCCTAGTTCTATAGTATCTCTTGTTTCATTTCTTCTGGGACAATCACAAACACTTTTTTTATTATGGATTTACTACCAGAAATTCAATGCGTAATCTTAACATGTGGAGGGTCGTGATTCTTCCCAACATATGAGAATACCAGCAAAAGGAGTAGAAAAGGTGTGATAATATCACGAGGGACAGGAAGCACTAAGATGCTTCTTCGAAGCATTCATACTGAATATTATATCAAAAGCTCAGGCTGATGCTTGCTTTCTCTTTCAAAGCATGGCTTTATATAAAGATCAAAAAGGAGATGGCTTAGACTCAAAGCAAGCAATCCCAGGACCCCAAAAAACCTCTTTGAATTTCTTTAACTTCGCATAAAAAGGATGCAACATTACAAACCCAGCTGCACCACATTCTGGAAATCTCGTGACAAAATAGCTGCTACTGTAACTGCTCCTGTTGCCATTAGAACTCAAGGCACCGTGGGATCGCTCGTCAAGAAGGAAATTGATTATTTTGCCAAGATTGAGCTTGAAAGATGCAGCAGCAGCAGCAGCAGCTCACATAGGACCCAAAGACCTGATATGGCTTCTTCTAGCTGCAGCAGCTCCCCTCCCACTTTCTGGCAGTCTATAATGTCGTGGCGAAGGAAGAAGAAGCGAACCGGGATTTGTTTTGTCCCGAAAATGAATAAGATCTCTGGGTTCGGTTACACACAATCCTTCGAATGACTTCCACAGCTTCCACATGTAGATGATGCTTCATAATCCTCAAAATATTGGACTCACGGATTTGCAAGAGAAGCTACCAAGCAGCTTCCTGCTGCTGATGCTTGTTAGGATTTGTGTTTCCAAATTCTAAAGGAAACTTCCTAGGATCCCATCCAGACAGGAACCAATTAGCAGTTTCAACTTTCAAGGTAATCCAGTTTTGGAGAAAATGTTCAACTTTTCTATAGGGAGGATTGCTGGGAGGTTTGTTCCTGCAATCGTATGCAATATGAGTTTTGAAAATATATGAAGTTTTTCGAGAATGTTGCATTCACTACTCATCCCACCCACCCCCTAAGTCAAAATGTAGGTAAGAATGAACATGTGAGATCATACGTTGGTTAGAGAGAGGAACAAAAATATTTATTACAAGGACGTGGAAACTTCTCTCTAACAGAGACATTCTAAAAACTGTGAGGCTAACGGCGATACATAACAGGTCAAATCAAACAATATCGGCTCGCAGTTGACTTCGGACTATTACAAATGGTATCAAAGCTCAACGACAGACGGTGTGCCAGAGAGGACGCTAGACCTCAAAGGGAGATAGATTGTGAGATCCCAGGTCAATTGGTGAGGGGAACGAAGTACTCCTCATAAATGTGTAGAAACCTCTCCCTAACAAACGCGTTTTAAAAACTGTGAGGCTGATGGCGATACGTAACAGGTCAAAGTGGACAAAATATGAACTTATAACCATCACAAATGAAAAACTAATGTCAAGTTTCTCACTTTATTGGCATACAAATTGCTTAAAAACAATCTGGGTTTCCATCAATACATAAAGTACTAACCTAACAGGAACAGCCACCACCACAATTCAATCCCACATCTCTCCTCTTCTATAAGCAGATCCAAACCTACCAATAGGGAGCGGACTCATTCAACAAAAGCATTACAAATTTCAACCAGTGCAAAAGCTAGAACATTAAACTTGACAATGGAATTCCTCGTCTGTAGAACAAGAACAAAATGATCAGCACAGCCACTCAGAAGTAGACTTAACTGCAAAGCCAATATAAAACAATTAGCTGTACCTATGTAAAACATATGCAGAGGGTGATTAGCTCAAGCCAAGAAAATGGCGCATCCTCTTGTATTTCCCTGGTGGTTGCAGAGCATCCCAGAGTTTCCTCACTGAGGCAATCCAGCTTCAATTTCATTCCACGTTTCAACATTCTTAGAGAACCTCTCTTTGATTTGCCCAATGAGTTGCTTTGCCTCATCGACCTTCGAAATGCTAACAAGCCCATCAATAAGAGACTTCATTGTAGTAATATTTGGAAACCAACCCTTCTCTATGCTTTGCCCACAGAGCTTGAATGCTGTATCATAATCTCCTCCTCGACAAAGAAAGTAAATCAAAGTGAAATAGCAATCACTATCTGGTTGGCAACCGCTATTGATCATTCTCTTGAAAAGGGTCTTAGCTTCATCAAGATTTCCTTCCTTGCAAAACCCATGAATCAATTCACAATATGTAACAGAGTTTGGTTTCATACCTCTCGACAACATCCCATCAAACAAAGCCTTCGCCTCCGATGATCTCTTCAATTTACACAGACTCTGTATCCTTGCATTATATGTACTAACTCCACGCTGAACGCCATATTTTTCCATCAATTTTATGACCTTCTCAACATCCTCGTACTTCTCTTCCTTGTAGCATCCAGCAAGCCAGTTCGCAAAAGTGGTAGCATTTGGTTTGATATCCTTCCTGTCCATCTCCGCCAGAATCGAATACACTGCACTAGACGAACCCGATTCTGAAAACGCCTTGATCACTCTGTTATACGTATCCAGATCTGGTTCGATTCCATAAATCTTAGGAAACTCCATAAAAACTCGCTTCAGTTCCTTGTAGTCCTTAGCTAAATTGCATGCAAATAGCAATGCGTTAAGCGATTTAACCGAGTGACGCACGCCCAATTCATCAATTTGCTTAAAAGTGCTGATAGCATGATCAAGCATATTGGCCTGGCCATAGAGAACAATAGCGTGGCAAGCGAAACGCTCGTTTTTCAAGTCGGGACGAGATTTCAATTCCTCGAGGAACCGGCGAATCCCATCGAAATGCTTGGACTCTGAAAGCTTGGAAATAGCAACAGAGAAAGCGATGCGATCGAGATGTGATTCTGGAGTGAGAGTAGCAGCTCGGCAAATATCAATTATACGCTCAGGATTGTCCTCAGATTTCAGTAGAGACAGTGCGGCCCTCGATTTCTGTTTCGCTGACAAAGGATTGGTGGAATCCGGGGAAAGGATTGTCGAGAGAGAACGGTAGTAAGTCGCGTTCGACGGGAAAGCGTGACGGAGGCGATAGAGAAGCGCCATAGCTCAAGAATGATTAGCAGAGAGAGACAGATGGAGAATACCGAAGGTCTAGGGTTTTGGAGAATAGCTTGAAGACGACGGCGGGCTTTGCGATCTGGTGCAGGTGTGAAACAGGAACGATCAGTGAGCCATTTAATCTTAGCCGTCGTTACCATTTGAGAATTGAAAAGTATGCTAAACTAACGGTGGAGATTGAGATCTGATTACCAAAAGTACTCTTTTTAATGTTTTAAATAATTTTTTTAAATTTTATATTATTTGATATTATAGCATCTCACATCAATTAAAAATAAAAACTAAACATTTTTTTATAAGGGCGTGAATACCTCTTTTTAGCATACATGTTTTAAAACATTGAAAGGAATCACGAAAGAAAAACTCAAAACCCGTGACGTATTTTAAAATATTGAGGGGAAGTTAAGAAGTGAAAATCCAGACAGTACAATATCGACTAATTGTTATCGATTAATATCTCGACATAAGACGAGAGGTAGGTCTTGTGTCACTCTACCTGATCCTAAGAAGCTGGCATGCATTCTGACTCTTGAGGCTCTTCCATAGTCTTTAATTGTTAGACTACGGTCTACGCTAACAACTATTCCACTCAGTCGTATGAAACTTGCATGCATTTCGACTCTTGAGGCTCTTTGTAGTCTATAATTGTTAGAATACAGTCTACGACTAATGTCATTCGTGATCTACGACAGTGACCATTACCCACCAAGTTATTTTCAAATTAGTTGTTAGTTCACATCTCTTCTAATTCATCGATTCAACACGAGAAGCAAATTGTTGGGTGAAAGAATCAATATCTCGACATAAGTCAAGAAGCAAATCTCGTGTCACTCCACCGGATCGTATTCGATTCTCGAGACTTTTTCATGGTCTTTAATTGTATAGACTATGGTCTATGACTAACATCATTCGTGGTTTATATATTACATATTATAGTCAAATAGTATACATTTGACATTAGTCGTGATGACTAATGTCATCGTGGTCCATAAAGTATATATTTTTTAGGGAGTATTTTTTAAAATATATATTTTTATTTTTAATTTAAGGGTATTATTAAATTTTCTTTATTAAGATGAAAATTATTTTTATTGATTTAGAAAAAAAATTAATTTGTAGCGGAAAGAAAAATAAATCAGGCTTTGGAAATGGGACCAAATAAATGAAGGTGCGAGAGCCAGACGACGGAAAAGTCCCTCTTCTCCTTTGCAGCCTCTATTCGCCGGCGCTGCGGTGGCTGTCTCGCCGGCGTTCTCCTGATCGTCTCAATTTTCGGTTCTTTGACTCTACGGCGGAGAGAGGGGAAAGTGAGAAAGCTTCTTTACTATTTGGGGGAAAATGACGAGATTGCAGCTGAACTTGACGACGGCCATGGAGATGGGAGTTACGGCATCCAGCTGGTGGAATGACATCAACGAATCTACTTTCTGGCAGGATCGGATTTTTTACTCTCTCTGTGCTGTATATGCTGTAGTCTCCGCCGTTGCTCTGGTCTCTCTCTCTCTCTCTCTCTTGCTTCCCTACCTCATTTATCTAAAACTATCTGCTATGCTGTGTTCGAGAGCCTGTTCTTGCTCTGTTTTAAATTGATGGTTTTAGTGTCGTAATTGATTGCTAATTGGTAGGTTTGAGTGCGTTTTCTATTCTAGAATTGGTTCTTTTACCTTCCGATGGGTGCCACTGGCTCTGGTTTGTTCAATGAAATTCTAGGAGAATGAAAAATTCATGTTACTTCAAGTATAGTTTGCGTTTTTCAATATTTGATTCCTTTAATTTTTGAGGTTTAAACGCTATCTCGAAGTACGCAGACCTTTTTTAAGCTTTCAATGGCAAAAATTCGTGTTCACATCAGCAAGAAGGGGGAAGAAAATTTGACCTGTAGAATAGAGATTTAGATTTAGATTTTGGGTGTACAGCACTTAATTTTCGTTTGTGCGTGCAGATTCAATTGATAAGGATCGAACTGAGAGTTCCTGAATATGGCTGGACAACACAGAAAGTTTTCCATCTCATGAACTTCATTGTGAATGGAGGTAATATAAGTAGACTGTTCGACTTTATTTTCAGTGGAGGCATTTGAAGTTTTGGTTGATAGTTTCAATTCCTACTATGTGATTCAGTACGCGCAATTGTGTTTGGGCTCCACATGCAAGTGTTTCTTTTGCAACCAAAGGTAAACATACTCGTGCAGTGTCTGAACCTTTGATATATTGTGATAATTGACCTTTGAAATATCCAAAGCTTTAACATTATTTGGGATTGGTCTGGACTCGGATTTTCAGTTCTTATTTTTTCCACACTAAGGAAAATCTTGAAACTCAGAGGTTCTACGAGAAAAAAAGACTGCATAGCTTGCTCAAAATATTGCGGATAGTGAAAACTATAGGAGATTATACATCGTTCTTGCAATTTTTGTAGGTTATTTTGAATTTTTCCCTATTGTTTGGCCTGTGCCTTAAGTTGTTCTTGAGACACTCGAGAGCTATTTTGTAAACAATTGGACTGGAAACAACTTTTAAAACAAAACAAAACTTAAAAACAAATTTTTAACACTATTTCCAAATGGCACCTGAGTTTCTTTCTTTTTTTATGGTTTTTTCACAATATTATAAATTTGCCCTAGTCCTATCTCCTCTGAAAATCTTAAAAAGGTGTCATGAAGATTAAAGCTTGTATACTGAGGTATGTCAACTAATTTTGAATCAGGTTCTGCTATCGTTATTATTGGAACTCCCTGGTCTACTTTTTTTCTCTACTTACACGCTCCTGGTCCTCTTCTGGGCAGAGATATACCACCAGGCAAGTGTTATTTAATGTTTTGCCATCTATTTTCTTTATCATTTTTTTTTTCTTGCAATCAAGGATGTCTTCTTGTTCTAGTGGCTGAGATCATTGATATTGCAATCGCTTTGGGCACCATGAGTATTGCTAATTTTTTCGTTGATTGGGTCATCATGAACAGGCTAGAAGTCTGCCAACGGATAAACTCAGAATAGTTTACATTTCAATCAACAGTGTGGTATATCTCATACAGGTATTTTTAACACCACTTACTCTTGGCTACCCTTGTTCAAAATTCAATCACTAGCCAATTAATAGTTTAAAATCCTTGACTGAATTCAGAATCTTATTTCGAAGGATGAGAGGGAATTCCTGGTATTGGTTGTGTCTATGTGAAATTCAGCCTTGTTTATATGTATGAAGCAGAGAAATATGTTTCCTGCTACTGGAGGGTTGTAATATAATACTTAAGCTGCTATCCATTAATAAATACTGATTTTCACCATCCTATCTTTAATATCTGTGACTTTCATCCCTCCTGTTCACATGTTATTTTGTTGTAAAGGAAATTGAGGTGATGCTATTGATTAGTAGGACTCTCTAAGATGGCCATCTTAGTTATATTCTCAAAGTGAAAAATTTTAATTCCCTTCTTGCGTCAATAGATCGTCTTTATCTACATATTCAATTAATTATCATAAGTTTTTTGGTGCATTATTGTTTCTAATGCGAGAAATTGGTCATGATTTATTGTTATTATTATTTTGTCATTGAGGTTCTGATTAACCAAATTCCTGAGGAGAGGTTTGGCTGAACCATGTTATTCTATATGTTGAACTCAACTCAAAGTTAAATAGTAATCTGTGGACAGGTTTGCATTTGGATATACATCGGGGTGGATGACAACAGTGTGGTGGAACTCGTTGGAAAAATTTACATTGCAGGTTAGTCTTTGTACCCAGTGAGTCATTTCCAACCTACAAGAGGCCAAGTTTTGCAGATTTGATCTTCATTTTCACTTTGCGAAGAAGACAGTTTTATATTACTAATCAATTGTTTCCCTTTCTAACCACTGCTTGCTTATTTCATTGTCCCAGTGGTGTCGTTCATAGCTGCAATAGGCTTCTTGATATATGGTGGAAGGTGAGTATCTCCTTCATGTCTGGTGGATATATCATTCAATGCATCTAGATCTTATAATCTCTGATTACTTGTGCTGACTACTTATTTCGTATGAAATTTTTTAGATTATTTTTCATGCTCAGACGTTTTCCAATTGAATCTAAAGGGAGAAGGAAGAAACTTCATGAGGTATGCGTCCATTGTTTATTATTCTTCTATCATGTTGTGACCACAAACGCCCTTTTCCTCCTATTATATGGAAAGAGTTTTGTTATTTATCAAAATTTCTATCCTCCATATCTGCGTGGAATATTCTGATAACTGATGGTATGAATTTATAATTTATACAAACAAATTATATGGTCAAACTCCATTTTTTCTTCTGCGGAAATTTGTCGCTATGATACCATAGTTAAAAGAGGGCTGTAGGTTTAAAGGACTTATTTGGTTTCTGCAACATGTGTATGTTTATACATAATACCCAAGCTTATTCATTCCAATCTGTTCCTCCTATATTAAAATTTGACATGAATGAAGATAATACAAAACGAGTTAATCTCCATCAATCAATTAAAGTAGGATCCGTGATGTTATATTTAGGCTTGTTAGCTGTACTTTGTGGGTTTTCATGTATATTATGGATCCACGTAATCATGCTTACTGTGCTTTTTAATACTTTTTTGTTTTAAATAAATAATTGCAGGTTGGATCTGTGACCGCCATATGCTTTACCTGCTTCCTCATTCGATGCTTTGTGGTATAGTTCAATCCTTCTGCTGCTAGTAATGAAAGAACCGTCTTCTTTAGGGAATGCTAATTTTAATCATAGGGTGGCCAACATTATGAATGGATTTCTGACAATACATGGGATTCACCTGATGTTCTTTTTCACTGTTGAGTGCAGGTTGCTCTATCTGCTTTCGACGCAGATGCATCACTCGACGTTTTAGATCACCCCCTCCTGAATTTCATCTACTATTTGGTACGTCACTTCACTTAGGGCAGGGCATGCTCATGAGTTTTTTTATAAGTTATTTATTAAAAACAACTTTCACTTTTAAACACAGTCTTCATAGATTTTGAATGATTAAAGACAGTGTTGAGGAGTGATTTTGAAGATTTTCAATACACTCTCAAATGTATCCTAAACTTGTTCATACAACTTAGTTCTGATTTTGTTAGATTCCTCTTATTTTTGTCTGATACAAACCATTTTGCTGAACTTACAGTTGGTCGAAATTCTGCCTTCAGCATTAGTTCTTTACATATTACGCAAGTTGCCTCCTAAGAGAATATCAGCTCAATACCACCCCATTCGCTAGTTAATATCCATGTTGCATGCAAAACACTTCCCCAACTTGGGGTTGGTTTTTAATTATCTTGGAATTGAGAATCCTTACTGGAAGAAACAAGGCATGAAAGTTGGGTGTAATGTGGCATCTGCTGTTGCATGTGATGCCAGAATAACCAAGCTGTGTTTGCTGCTGGCTGACAGCAATCTGTAACTCTTCTCTTGGTATTGTCTGATTCGAACAACCCATTCCATTTGGATCTAAATGTGCACAAATTCTAGATTTCTGTAAGATTAGTTGTTGTGTTTCGATCCGCTTTGTTGTTCTTGTCCTGTAATTTTGTTTACTATTTGACCAGTGGATTGCTAGGTGTTCTTCTCAATCTCACGTATGGTTGACTAAAATAATTAAATTTTATTAAGCTTAGGATTGTCATTTTAAGATCAAAATGATTACTTTTTTTTTTTTTTTTTTTAAATTCAATAATTAAAATGGACCTCTACTCACTTTTGGGATGAGAATTTTACTTGGTTTTGAGATTAAAACTAAAATATAGTATTATTATTGCTTTGGGATTTAATGTTTCTAGATAGATTTAGATTTTATTCGATTTTATTTAGAATTAAAGAAATGTAAAAGGTTAAATATACTTATATTCATATTTGATCTAAACATGGGCATTCGTAATGGTGGTACTAAATAAACAATCGAAAACAAATTTAGAAGTCGGCTTCATTTATCGTAGCTTCTTTTCCTTTTCTTACCGAGTGTGATTCAATCTTTAAGGTCAAACTTGGTCAATGCATGCATGCACTTTCTCTGTCGTGTCAAGGGGAAGACGGAAAAATTAGAGTAGGGTCAAAAGTCCCATACTACCTCTTCCTTTTCTTGGTCAATGCATGCATGCACTTCGTTTGCCTCGTCAAGGAAACCCGAACACTTCCCTTGCATACGGAAAAAGGGTCAAAAGTAATATTTTGGGTATCGAAATGGGAGAGAAAACTAATTGAAGGGATTGAAAGAAAATAAAAAAATAATTTATTTAATTATATTGTTATTAGTTGGTTGATTGAAAAATTCAAATTTTGATAGCTAACTGGAATAAAACTGAATAAAAGATCCTGTGTGGTCGAAATCACTTGGACTTGCATGAGCTCGATTTTTGATTGGCGGATTTAAAAAGAGCTAGTTGATGGACAGAAAAACGCGGGGCCCAAAGTCTAAAAATCGCGGCCTCAACGTCCTTTCGGATAACGTGTCTCGATTTTCGAGAGATATATAATCCCAATAAGCCCTTTCCTTCTGGCTTCTCTTTCGCTCGCGGCTTGCCTGCTTCAGACTGCTAGGGTTAGGGTTTCTCCGATATCAACGAGATCCCCAAATTCCCCACATTTAACCAAATTCTTTCGTTGAACCGACGATGCAGCCTGCTCCTGGTGTTGCCCTTCACAACATGCCTCACCAAGCTCCTCAGTACCAGCAACAGCAACCTCCTTACATGATGATGCCGCCTCAAGCACAGCCTGTCCCTCAGATGTGGCCTCAGCAGCCGCAGGCCGTTTCGCCTCAGGGCCAACCGCCTCAACCAGCTAACGCCGATGAGGTCCGTACGCTCTGGATCGGTGACTTGCAGTATTGGATGGACGAAAACTATCTCTTCAATTGCTTTGCTCATACAGGCGAGGTATGTTAAAGAACGCCTCACCTCCCCTATTTGAGATCATGCGTGCATGCTTTATTTTTCTTCTTTGTTAGCGGAAGATGTTGGAGTTTCTTGTATTATTATTAATTGGATTCTATGAAGATTTGTGGGAACGTTTGTTATTGCAATGTAATCTTTGTGGATAAGAATTGGATACAATTTTTGTTTTTAATTTCATATATAGAACTAATGAGGTTTGTATCCCCAGGTTTCCTCCGTGAAAGTTATTCGGAATAAGCAAACTGGCCAGTCCGAGGGCTATGGCTTTATTGAGTTTTTAACGCGTCCAGCTGCAGAAAGAGTACTTCAAACGTATAACGGTACCCCGATGCCCAATGGGGCACAAAATTTTAGATTGAACTGGGCATCAGCTGGAGAAAAGCGACAGGACGACTCTCCTGATTACACAATTTTTGTAGGGGATTTAGCTGGTGATGTTACTGATTACGTGCTACAAGAGACATTTAGGGCGCGTTATACCTCCCTTAAGGGTGCCAAAGTTGTGATTGATAGGCTCACTGGACGCACTAAAGGTTATGGGTTTGTTAAGTTCGGAGACGAGACGGAGCAAATGCGGGCAATGACTGAGATGAACGGTGTTCTCTGTTCATCCAGGCCCATGCGAATTGGACCTGCCGCTAACAAGAACACTTCTGGCGGTCAGCAATATGCGAAAAGTAAATACCACTCTACCCCCCAAAGGGGAAATTTTCTTTTTTTCTTTTTTTTTTTTAATGAAAGACAGAAGTTCGATTTTCTATGGAGTACATTCTGCACTATTCACTCATTGTATGTTTCCGACTGTGTTTGGAGCTTGGGTCTGCATCATGCTTTCAATATGTCAAGATGAATTCCACCTTCTTTATTTTCTGTTGGACTCTTCTCCTCTCCGTTACTTTTATTTTTTAGTTTCCTAGCATTTAAATTTCCCTCTCGTTATACCTTGGAAGAATAGTAGCCTTTCATGCCTTTTCCTTCAGTGTACTTCCAATTCGAGCTTTGGTCACTGTAACTACTATAAAAAAGATTCGTAAACTTATAGAACTCCTCTTTTCTCTAAGCAGGGTGTCAAAAGGCTCTGTCAGCTTGGGGTCCGCTACTGATTTCAGCTGACATGCTTACCCTTTAGTACGTTGTTCCATTTAGGTCAGTTTTTTTCCCGCAAATGTCTTACCCTTTACTTTCTATGTAGCATATTTATGCTACGTTTTTTAATTCACCATTAGTTCTGCAACGTTGAGTTTTTCCTTTCATTTGCATAGGTATTTTTTTTTAACTGTCCCAGGCATTTTTTCACTATGGCTAACTCCATTAGTTTTTTTTTTTTTTTTTTCCAAGTTTAGGTCACTTAGGTTCTTTAGCTAGATGAATTATCGAAATTTCCAATAACTGGGATAGCAGGCTAGTTTGATTCTGAACTTTCCTTCTACAACAGCTGCAGCAGGCCGCATAGGCTGTGCTTGTTCTTCACCTCCTAGTATTTAGGGTTTATGGGATTTACTTTCCTATGTTTTCATCTCAGTATGTGGTGGTTGGGTTCCATATACTTAGACGAATCCACTACTTACCAAAGAATTTTGATACGTTTCTCGATCTGCATGGATCCTCATTTCTTATTAGCTTTTCATTCTGTGGCTTGATACTTTGTATTGATATTGTTTGGAATATTCTCTTCTTATTTCATTGTATTGAACTTATTTAATTTCAGGTATACTTTGTATGTGCCTCTTATGTGAATAGGATTCTATTCATTGATCTTCACTGATTTAATAGGTGGCTACCTTAACCTCCTGTAGTTTTTTAGTGGGCAGGATTTTCAATATGGCATAATAGGGTTGCCTCGAGTCAAAAGTTAGGGAGGTTATTTGTGATATTTAGTTCTTTAGGTTGTGAAGCTTCATAATATCCCCTTTTTTTTGTATTACTCGTGTATTATTCCATGGATTTTTTCTCATCTTCTGTGGGCATAATATGGAACACTTTATTTCCTATTTTGCATTCATTATGTTCGGTATGCATGTCTTCTTTTCTTTATATTTTGGCCTTCATTTGAATGTTTTTGCAAGTACAATGCTTACATCTCTTGTCAAATAAAAGAAGGCCTATGCTTTTAATGACAGAGGCTTGCGCCTCTGTGTTTCTGCCTGTGTTTTAGTACATGCAAGCCTCAGTGAAAGGTAGGTGTAAGACTAATTAATTAAAGCAATTTTAAGATGTGGGATGTGTTCTACTTCCAATTAAATAATGTTTGTGTTGTTTTTCCATGTATCTTGGTTTTCTATTCATTTGAATTTATTTTGTTTTAGTATTGCATGTATTGTAGCTTTTATTTTTATAGCTATTATTCACCATAGTGATGTTTTGATATGACTCCATTAAGTTTACATGTCATATGAAACAGTGTCTTTTTTTAGGAAAAATGACACTGCTGGAATATCTCAGTTCAATATTTGTTAAAAGGTGTCATTTTAGTTTACTATTTGCAAATGCAGCTTCATACCAGAATCCTCAAGGGACTCAGAATGAGAACGATCCAAATAATACAACTGTGGGTACTTCAGTAATTTTCTATAGCAATATAATCTCATGAACATGTTTGTGAGTTGTTATTTGGTCTTATTGCAGATATTCGTGGGAAATTTGGATTCTAATGTCACAGATGAACACTTGAGACAAGTATTCAGCCAGTATGGAGAGTTGGTGCACGTTAAGATACCTGCAGGCAAGCGATGTGGCTTTGTTCAATTTTCAGACAGGTTGGCATTTTCAAAAACTTTTATGAACCAACCCCCTCCCAAACTCTTGGTGTTTGCTGACAAGTAGTTGTTTTGTTTTCCTTAATACCTATTTTAGAAGCTGCGCCGAGGAAGCTTTACGCATGTTGAATGGAACCCAAATTGGTGGACAAAACATTAGACTTTCATGGGGCCGCAGTCCTTCTAACAAGCAGGTAGTAGTATTGTTGTACTTCACTTATCATCAAGGATTGATTTATATTGAAACAAATAGTTATGATCCTCTAATGCAAATTTGCAGCCTCAAGCTGATCCTAATCAGTGGAATGGAGGTGGAGGATACTATGGGTATGGACAAGGGTATGAAAATTATAGCTATGCTCCAGCTGCCCAGGACCCTAACATGTTCTACGGTGGCTATGGCGGCGGGTATGGGAACTACCAGCAACCAGCACCACAGCAGCCGTCGCAGCAACAAGGAGGATATATGTAGATGACGAAGCTGTAATTCTTGTGTCCCGCCTCCTGCTCGAACACAAGACCCTTGAACTTCTACTTGCCATTAGTAGAAGATTTTGGGGATGTTAGTCATCTATTCTGAACATTCTGTATGTGACTCTGATGACATGTTGTCACTTGTGTGTTGTATTTGGTGTTAGAAGGTTTTGCGTGTCGTGTTATTTGTTCTATTGTAGGATCATATCTATCCAAGAAGCGAGCTGAATTATCGGATTGTAATTTTCTGAAATCCTTGCTGAAAAAGCTCCTACATGGGTGAAATGCTGCTACTCCTTTTCTTTTTGGCCTTCCTAATTTCACTTATTCTGTCATGAAATTGTTTGATTTACACTCGTAGTTGCAGTAACTTTACATAGACTTGGCTTGCTGTTCCTCGAGTCCATATCAAGGTGGAAAGGTAGTCGAGGCAAATGCCTTAGCTTGACAAGGAATTTCATTAATAACTGGTTGAATAATTTGATATCTCTAGTAGATGTTTTAGGAGGAACAAATGACTATTGATATAACTTATTCTATATTGTTCCTCCAATGATTTTAAGGTCAAACGATTTTAGGGTAAATATCAGAGATGTAGTTCAACTATGACACAATTGAATCCAAACATAGAGCAATGACACAATTGAATCCAAACAACATTTATGACATAATTGAATCCAAACAAACAAAATGTTGAATTGAATTGCTATGTCACAATTGAATCCACTGCTATGTCACAATTGAATTGAACTGTACCACTACTTGTTCACTCTATACTCGAATTTGCATTGCCTATAGCACCAGTCGGCTTTGCACAACACGTCGAAGAATCGTACTAGATGAGGTGAGGCCCAAGATGAGAGACCTTATTGAACTATGCAAGGCCTCATATTGGACATTTTTCGGACATCCTTGGAATAAGTCAGCTTATGATATTAAATTATTATTCGCCAGCTGAAAATAGAAGGAAAAAAAAAAAATAAAACTAAATATTCCCGTGCGGTCGGTATCATCTTGACTTCCATAAGCTCGGTTTTTGATTGGTTGGATTGGCGAGCCAATACGATCCGGACCTCTTATTTTATTTTATTTTATTTTATTTTATTTTATTTTATTTTATTTTATTTCCTTTTAAAACGATAATTCTAATTCTTCCCGCGACTGCTTCTTGTTTTGCCTTTTCATTTCGCTTGCTTTCGACTTCTAGGGTTAGGGTTTCTCTTTGTTCAGGCGAAGCACCAAAGCTCTCTTCCTTCTTTCGGCTTTTCTGTACAATAAGGAGATCTTGTTCCGATTCGCCGAAACGATGCAGCCTGTACCTGGTGTTGCACCTCACAGTATGCCTCACCAAGCCCCTCAGTATCAGCAACAGCAACCTCCTTACATGATGATGCCTCCTCAGCCGCCTCAAGTGCAGCCTTCCACTCAGATGTGGCCTCAGCAGCCGCAGGCTTCTTCGCCTCAGGGCCAACCATCTCAACCAGCCAACGCCGATGAGGTCCGTACGCTCTGGATCGGAGACTTGCAATACTGGATGGACGAGAGCTATATTTTTAATTGCTTGGCTCATACAGGCGAGGTACGTCAAAGAACGACAATCTTTTTGAGGTCATGTCTGGATATGTATTTGTTTTCGTATTTGATAGTCGGTAATGTTGGAGTTTTAGGATTATTAGTTGTATTCTATCAAGATTTGAACTAACGCATGTTATTACAATGTGATCATGGTGGATAAGAAGTGGTTACAATTTTCCTTTTTAAAATTTAGTTCTTGCATGAATTAAGGAGGTTTATTTTATATCCTCAGATTTCATCCGTGAAAGTCATTCGGAACAAGCAAAACGGCCAGTCTGAGGGTTACGGCTTCATTGAATTTTTGACGCGTCCAGCTGCAGAAAGAGTACTTCAAACCTATAACGGTACCCCGATGCCCAATGGGGCACAAAATTTTAGATTGAACTGGGCATCAGCTGGGGAGAAGCGACAGGACGATTCTCCTGATTACACAATTTTTGTAGGGGATTTAGCTGGTGATGTTACTGATTATGTGTTACAAGAGACGTTTAGGGCACGTTTTACCTCCGTTAAGAGTGCCAAAGTTGTGATTGATAGGCTCACTGGACGCACTAAAGGTTATGGGTTTGTAAAGTTTGGAGACGAGAATGAACAAATGCGGGCGATGACTGAGATGAATGGGGTTCTCTGTTCAACCAGGCCCATGCGAATTGGACCTGCTGCTAACAAGAACACTTCTGGGAGTCAGCAATATGCGAAAAGTAATTACCACTCTCCCTCCAAAGGGGAAAAACGGAACTTCAAATTTTCTGTTGAATATATTCTGCATCATTAATTTGTTGTATGTATGCGGTTACGTTGATAGTTTTGGCATGCATTTTGCTTTCAATACGCCCAGATGAAGTCCGACCTTTATTTTCTGTTTGGATCTAGTTCCTCCGGTTACTTTTAGATTTAGTTACAAGTGTTTAAATTTTCCCGTCATACCTTGGAAGTTAGTAGCCTTTCATGCCTTTTCCTTCAGTGTACTTCCAATTCGAACTTTGGTCACTATAACTACTTTAAAGAGATTCATAAACTTATAAAACTCATCTTCTCTTTAAGCAGGGTGTCAAAAGGCTCTGTCAGCTTGGGGTCTGCTACCGATTTCAGCTGACATGCTTACCCTTTAGTACGTTGTTCCATTTAGGTCAGTTTTTTAACGCAAATGTCTTACCTCTTACATTTTTGTGGCATATATATGCTACTTTTTTTTTTTTTTTTTTTTAAATTCACCGTCAGTTCTGCAACGTTTAGTTTTTCCTTTCATTTGCATGGAGTAATTTTTTTCTCTCTCTGGCATATCAGTCTAATTCCATTAGAGTTTTTGTTGAAGCTCATGCCACTTAGGTTCTTTAGGTTGATGAAATATTGCAATTTCCAATAACTGGGATAGCAGGGTAGTTTGATTCTGTACTTCCTTTATACAACAGCTATAGCAGGACACGTAGGTTGTGCTTGTCCTTCACCCCCTTATATTTAGGGTTTACAGGATTTACGTTCCTACGTTTTCTTCTCAGTGTTAGATGATCGTATCCTGTTTATGCCAACGAAACCCTTACCTAGGCATAATAGAATTTTGGCACGTTTCTAGTTTTACTCTGTTCTTATTTCTTACAGGTATTTCTATTCTGTAGCTCAGTATTCCGTACTGTCATTCCTTTGGACTAATCTATTCTTCTTTAACGTTTTGGTTACATGGGGGTATAAGACGTATGTGCCCCTTTTGTAATATTATTGTATCAATTGTGTCTTGCTGATGTTACGGTTGGCTACTTTCATCTTTCCTAATTTTTGTTTTAACCTTGGCCAAGTTTACTCTGAATTTTCAATATGGAATAATATAGTGCTTGAATCAAAAGTTAGGCAGGCTATTTGTATTGTGTAGTATTTTAGGATGTGATGTTTTGTAATATCTGTCTTTTTGAATTACTCAGCGTTATTCTGTGGATTTTTTCTCATCCGATAGGGTATTCAATCACTTACATTCACCCATTTTACAATCTATGTTTGGTACGCATGTGCTATCTATTTTATATAATGGCCTTCATTTGATCAATGTTTTATCTTCGTTTGATCAATGTATTTTTTTCCACAGATTTTGTCTTTGTTTTTATTTTGGTATTCTTTGTTGTTCTAGTTAAAAAGATGATGTGGTCTTAAAATTAACTGACATGCCTCTCCATAAGAAAAAGCCTTTAGGTTGCTTTAGGCCTTTAAACATACTTTATATGATTATGCAATTTGGAATGGCCTTAGGTTGTAACAAAATAATGTTTCAATGTGTTCTGGAACAATGTTTATAAAATAATGTTTTAAACATACTTTTGAACTGTTTTTAGTTCCAAGTTTAAAAGAAAATTCATGTTCGTTTAATTTTTGCGTATGCAGCTTCATACCAGAATCCTCAAGGGGCTCAAGATGAGAATGATCCAAATAATACGACTGTGGGTACATTACTATTTTTCTTTTGTCATGCAATTTTATTTTCATTTTTTAATTTCTTAATTTGCTATCTTGCAGCTATTTGTGGGGAATTTGGATTCTAATATCACAGACGATCACTTGAGACATGTTTTTGGTCAGTATGGGGAATTGGTGCATGTAAAGATACCTGTAGGCAAACGATGTGGTTTTGTGCAATTTTCCGACAGGTAAGTAATTTAAAAGATGTAACCAAACATCTTAATCTCCCATGAATTGGTCATGACACGCTCAATGGTTATTTTGATTGTGTGGTATGTTAGAAACTGTGCTGAGGAAGCATTGCGTATGTTGAATGGATCCCAAATTGGTGGGCAGAACATTAGACTTTCATGGGGACGTAGTTCTTCAAATAAACAGGTAATAAATAGTTCTTTCGGATGACTTCCATGGGAACATTAGACTTTCATGGGGACGTAATCCTTCAAATAAACGTCCAAAGATGGTTTTTTATTATAGTTCTTTCAGAATAAGTTATTTTGTTTCCTCACCTTTTAGCCTCAGGCGGATCCTAACCAATGGAACGGAGGCAGCTATCACGGATATGGGCAAGGATACGAAAACTATAGCTATGCACCAGCCCCGCAGGACCCTAATATGTTCTACGGTGGCTACAGCGGCTATGGTAGTTACCAGCAGCCACCACCACAGCAACCGCAGCAACAGCAAGGAGGGTACATGTAGATTTGATGTTTTGTTGTTCTCTGCCCTGCCCTCCCCCTGTTATGTGATTTGGTTAAAAATTTTGAAAACGCTATTTCAACCTTCTCATCCACAGTAACTCTCTTCCTTCCTGTTCTCTATTCTTCCATAACTCTTTGATGACATTAAAAAAACCCTTCTTTTCCCCTTTCTTTTTATCATGTTTGATTGTGTACTTCGTGTGTATCTTTTTAAGAAGAGCAAGTGAGCTACTGATTTACATACTGGCAAGTAGATTATCAGTGAATGTAGCTTGAATATGAAGTTTCACTTCTAGCGACTGTATGTATGGCTGCTCTGGGCTTGCCTTTGTTTTACCATCTTTTTAGTACTTCTTGAAGGGTGCAGCACGAGTACTTTCATTTGGTCTCGTGACTCCTTTGGCTGAGAAATTTGTAGAAGATCAAGAGTTGGGTGATTTTATCGTCTCTTTGATTGGGTCAATCTTCTTTCTCTTGGAAGTTTTAAGCGCATATTTTCATATGATATGGCCTCCTCGTTTTTGAGACATTGTTTGGAGACATTATCTGTCGTCTTGATTTCATTTAATTGTTTAATTGTTCAACTTTATTTGGATTTAGAGCATTATCTTGGTTAATTCAAGGTTATTTCTGACATACATTGGGGAATTTTTTTTGTAGTTTGATATTTACTACGGGGACTATACTTTTTAATGATTATTAGTTCCATCCTTTGAACAATATTTAATGCTTAGTATTGAATAATTCTTATTGATCATTACAAAAGTTCGACTAGTATTTGGAAAAAATTACTTGAATGGTTATTCATTAAAATGTTTTCTTTGAAATTTCTGGTTTTAATTATCAAGGACACGAAATTTAAAGCAAAATAATAAAATATTCAACCACTATTGTTTCAATCTTTAAAAAAAAAGCATTATTATTTGGGAAATTTTCAGATTTTTTGGTTGTGGATTTTTTTTAGAATATATTATATAATTTATATGGGGATAATACGTTTCAACATTCCACATTGCCTAGGAATGCTATACCCTTCAAAAATGTTTTTAATTTTTTTTAAACAACTTCGACAATTTCTTAATTTTTGTGTATATAATACATGAAATGTAGATATATTGTTTTTGTCTATATATATATATATATATAATTTAAATTTATTTTTTTTTTTTAAATTACCTTTAAAATTACATGAATAATTTTATGTATAATACAAACGGTATTAATGAATCTTTTTAAAGTTGTTATATAATTGAAAAAGTATTAAAAGTTCGAGTATTTTTTAAAATAAAATATTATTATTATTATTTATTTATTATTATTATTATTTTATTTTATTTTTTTTGTCTAAAAGGTAAGAATGTTTATTTTTTTTTTTTTTTTTTTTTTTTTTTTTTTTTTTTTTTTTTTTTTTTTTTTTTTTTTTTTTTTTTTGAGGTAAAATACAAAATTTATGTTTATGTTTCTTCCCCATTTTCGTTTGGGTTAGGATGTCCCATCACCTCTTCGAAGCTCGTGTCGCCCACATGACCATCGCTGCATCGCTGCCATCTGATGCTTGTCGAAGATGTATAAGGACACCAAAATTATGGCCACAAAATAACGCTCTTTTTCCTCTTAACCCATCTCTCAAGAATCGCCATCTTTCTTTCATCCATGGCTTCTCTGCTAGCTAATGGAATTTCACGGTTTCCTCACCAACCCACTCGGGAATTACAAAAAGACCTAATCCCCAAGCTGCACAATCCCAGAATCTCTAACTTGAAGATTTTGAAGCCCAAACCCTTCAGGGTCCGCGCAGATGTCGGATACGATCCCAAAACTGCGAACTCCGGCCCGAGTTCTACAGGTAAGCCCTCGCCGTCACCTACTAGTACCGATGAGAAAATTCAGGATATTCTTCGTAACCGCGATTACGATAAGAAATTTGGATTTACTATGGATATCGATTCGTTTTCAATTCCGAAAGGGCTTTCCAAGGAAACAATTCGATTGATTTCTTCCTTAAAAGAAGAACCCGATTGGATGCTTGAATTTCGTTTGAATGCTTTTGAGAAATTCCTAAAGATGAAAGAACCCAAATGGTCTGATAATCGATACCCGCCAATTGATTTTCAAGATGTTTGTTATTATTCTGCCCCTAAGAAGAAACCCACTTTGAATAGCCTTGAGGAGGCAGACCCAGAGCTGCTTATGTATTTTGATAGGCTTGGGGTTCCATTAAATGAACGAAATCGCTTAGCTAATGTTGCTGTTGATGCTGTTCTTGATAGTGTTTCAATTGCTACTACTCATAGGAAGACGCTAGAAAAGGCTGGTGTTATTTTCTGTTCGATATCTGAGGCAATTAGGGAATATCCTGATTTAGTTAGAAGTTACTTGGGGAGAGTTGTGCCTAGCGAGGACAACTTTTATGCTGCATTGAACTCGGCCGTGTTTAGCGATGGATCGTTTTGTTATATACCTAAGAACACAAAGTGCCCGATGCAGATATCGACGTATTTTCGAATCAATGCTTTGGAAACTGGACAATTTGAGAGAACTTTGATTGTTGCTGATGATAGGAGTTTTGTAGAGTATTTGGAGGGATGTACAGCACCTTCCTATGATAGGAATCAGCTTCATGCTGCGGTGGTTGAATTGTATTGTGCTGAAGGTGCTGAGATAAAGTACTCCACGGTTCAGAATTGGTATGCTGGTGATGAAGAAGGAAAAGGAGGGGTGTATAATTTTGTAACGAAGCGTGGACTTTGTGCTGGGGATCGTTCTAAGATTTCTTGGACACAAGTTGAAACTGGTTCGGCCATTACTTGGAAGTATCCCAGTGTTGTTTTGGAGGGAGACGATACTGTTGGTGAGTTCTATTCGGTAGCGCTGACTAATAACTATCAGCAGGCAGACACTGGTACGAAGATGATACATAAAGGAAAGAACACTCGGAGTAGAATTATCTCGAAGGGTATTTCTGCTGGAAACTCGAGGAACTGTTATCGGGGGCTTGTTCAGGTTCAGTCCAAAGCAGACAATGCTAAGAACTCATCGCAATGTGATTCAATGCTCATTGGTGACAATGCTGCGGCCAACACTTATCCTTACATCCAGGTAATATTCCTTGATGGAATGATTTGTTTGTTTACAATTATGGTTAGATAATTGAAAGTAGATGGTTACCTATCTTCTATCTTCGGTCGCTTTATGTATTTGATATCTGGTTTGCATGTGGTAATGTAATAGCTCAAGCCCATCGCTAGCTTATATTATTCTCTTTGGGCTTTCCCTTTCGGGCTTCTTCTCAAAGTTTTTAAAATGGGAGAGGTTTCCACACTCTTAAGTCTTCGTTCTCCTTCCAAACTGATGTGGGATCTCAATATCCACACTCCTTCGAGGTCCAGCGTCCTCGCTGGCACTCATTCCCTTTTCCAATCCATGTGAGACCCCCCAGCCCACCCCCTTCGTGGCCCAGCGTCCTTGCTGGCACACCGTCTCATGTCCACCTCTTTTCAGGACTCAGCTTACTCGTTGGCACATCGTCCGGTGTCTGGTTCTGATACCATTTGTAACAGCTCAAACCTACCGCTAGCAGATATTGTCCTCTTTGGGCTTTCCTTTTCGGATTTTTCCTCGAGGTTTTTAAAATGCGTCTGCTAGGGAGAGGTTTCCACACCCTTATAAAGAATGCTTCATTCTCCTCCCCAACCGACATGATCACATCACTAGGCCTACTCTACTGGCATAATGCCACTGGTACTCAAGAAGTAACTATTTATCATTGTATAAACAATGTTTTTATTATTATTTTTGTTATAATTATTTTTATGGGAGAACAATTTGAAAGTAATAGCAAGGCTTCTCATGCATGCACTGCCATCTTTATCGATCAAGGGCTCCTTTAAATTTCAAGACTTCAAAGTTTGACACCAAAGAGGCATCTTTAACTCTTTTTCAATACAGCAGAAACATCCTTGCCACTTGCCAGTTCTAAATAAATGCCTTAGTTAGACTCTGGACTCTCTGTTTGGTGTGGGCCTGTTGTGGTGGTGGGAGAAACATCAGAATCAATGAAAAAATTGGTGATAGATTGTAACTGTCCAAACCCACCGCTCGTAGATATTGTCTGCTTTGGTTCGTTACGTATCGTCGTCAGCCTCACGGTTTTAAAACACGTCTACTTGGGAGAGGTTTCCACACCCTTGTAAGGAATGCTTCGTTCCCCTCTCCAGTCAATGTGGGATCTCACAATCCACTATCTTTGGGAGCCTAGTGTTCTTGCTGGCATACTGCCCGGTGTCTAGCTTTAATACCATTTGTAACTGCCCAAATCCACTACTAGTAGATATTGTCCGACGCATCTACTAGGGAGAAGTTTCCACACCCTTATAAGAAATGATTCGTTTCCCTCGCCAACCAATGTGGGATCTTACATAGATATAGCCAGAGGGGAAAAATATCAAAATGGCTAATTCAATGGAGGGGAGTAATGGTGTCATATCTCGATTTTGACTTCTACAATTGGGAAACGACCATAGGTTGGTCTAGAGGAAGTTCTAGCTTCAATCCATAGTTTCCACTATGGATTTCATAGGTTGGTCTTGGGAAGTCTGGTTTCTTTTTCTTTAAGGATTTCATCACGAAACTATGTTTTGGATTCTAACAGGTGAAGAATCCCTCAGCTCGCATCGAACACGAAGCCAGTACCTCCAAGATCAGTGAAGACCAGTTGTTTTATTTTCAGCAGAGAGGAATAGACTATGAGAAGGCTATGGCTGCCATGATATCCGGGTTCTGTCGTGACGTCTTCAATGAGCTGCCTGATGAATTTGGTGCTGAGGTGAACCAACTCATGAGCTTGAAGCTTGAAGGATCAGTGGGTTAAGGCGGAAACTGGTAAATATTTAAAGGTTTGATCATCCTAAATCATTTAGATCTTCCTGCTTGGACTAAATACTTCTCTCTATTAGGAACATGAACAGAATGTAAATAGTTTTGAATGTTCAATCAACTTGTAGATCATGATCTCGCAGACAGACTTGCTGTTCATACATAAAATTTTTCACTTATTAATATCTGTTCGTGTGTCCCATCCTTTCACTTATTAATTGAATTTCTATGCTTAAATTGGTCTCTGATTGTTTGCCTGATAACATAACTTGCTGAAAAGTCCACTTAGAAATCTTGGTCTTCTAGTGAGACTCCACGTCGGTTGGAGGGGAAAAAATATTCCTTATAAGGGTGTGGAAACCTCTCTCTTAAAAATGGGACAATATCTGTTAGCGGTGGGTTTGTACTGATAAAATGGTA